GGACTATGGTGGTGGCACAGGGGTGATTTGGTGATGGGAAACCCGTGGGGTTACAATTGAGATGAAAAAAAAAATGTGCAAAATGATGTAAAAATAAACTTTTTAATAAAAAAAAATTATATGTTCCTGTCTTCAGTTTAGATGTCTTAGAGGAGTAACTTCGTGTTTGCAAATGCCTTGTGCTTCTCTGTCTGAAAAGGCCTTTATTTCTGTAGTATCTAAAAGAGAGTCTTTCAAAATAAGAGTGTTCTTGGCTGTCAGTTTTTAAATGTTTGATACACCTCATTCCATTTTCTCTCTGCCCATAGAATTTCTTTAGAGAATGATTATTAGCCTGATTGGTACACCTATATCAATATATCTGTTTCTTTTCCCTTGTCAGTTTCAATGTTCTTTCTCTGTCCTGAACTTTTATAAATTTCTTGACTGTATATCTTGATGCAGATCTCCTTTTATCTAGGTATGCCAGGGTTCCTTTAGCTTACTGGATTTGTACATACATTCCCTCCACTAGGTTTGGGAAGTTTTCCTCCATTACTTATTTAAACAAATTTTCTGTTCAGCTCTCTCTCCTCCATTGGGTTTTCCTCATTATTCTTATGTTGCCTTTCCTCATGGAGTTCAGTAATTCTTGAAGTGGCTCTTCACTTTTTTACTTCATTACCTGGATTCTTTGTATGTTTGCATTTTCAAGTACACACACTCCTTTTTGCATTTAATATATTCTACTTCTTTAACTTTCGCCTGAATTTTATATCTTCCATACTTCTCTTTTTAAATCCTGGAAACATTTGCATCTAACATACAACTTGATTTTCTGTCTTTAGTTCACTGATTTTATTTCTAAGAACATTCATTTTTATGAGTTTTCTTCCATTTCTTTGAACTTATTTATCACTGCAATTTTAAACTCTCTATCTGATAGGTAGAACATATCTTCCATGTTTTTGATACTGAATTCTGGAGACTCGTTCTCTCTGTGTGTTGTATTATTCTTTTGAAGACCTATGTTGCTGTTTGCTGAGAGTTTTCTTCTCCCTGTTACTTCCTCTAAAATCTGGCTGATGTAGGTGGGAGCTTCCTACAGGCATGGCTACTTCTCCGTCACCTGTCAGGTTCTTACTGGTCAGGTAGGCACTGGCAGAATCTCCCAGGAGGTCTTGAGGCTTCTGCTTGTTCTTATTCCTTTCCCAGCACAGATGGCATTTTTCTATCATTTTAGACAAATCCTCATTTAGTGAAGTTTTTGCATTATATTTACTAATGATTATCCATATACTTGGTAGAAAGTATGGAAACATGGCCCTTTCAAACCAGATATTTCACCTTTCCTTACCAAGGAAACACCAAGCTGCTCCAGTGTTGAAGTAAAAGCTGTCTGGTGGGACAATAGATGCAGTGTGTACATATGCTATATTTTATGGGCAAGCAAAAAAAAAAAAAACTTTGATCATGTACAGGTCCTCCCTTAATTACTGACTTTAGGGCATAATCTCCGTAACAGAGGCAACTATATTGCAGATCCACACAAGATAAAAGTTACACAAGACCAAACTTATAAGACTTCCTCTGTGCAGGCCACAGTAGTACATTTTCACAAAAAAATATCCTGAAAATTTAGCTTATAAGGCATATCTTTCATAGAACACAAGGCCCCAGAGGCTTACAGACTATCATTTAACCAGGGATAAGAAAAGCACATGCTCAAATATTCAGTTTAAGAACTGGCTTGTTGCTTTTCACTAGAATATTAAGCATGGTACCAATAGGCTAAATTTGAACTGTCAAGGTCAGGTTTCACCTCTCAGTCACACATACCAAAGCTTAGAAGACCAAACACCACAAGAGGGGCAAAAGCAGAAATGTAAATTTGTCTCCAAAAAATACCCCATACATTACTGTCTAAAGAAGTTCTTTTGAATAACCATTGACAGGAGAAAAATATCACTTTGAACATATGAAATGTCTAGATGAAACGCAACAAAACTGAGCCAAAGTTCTTACATTAATAATACAAGGTACATCCCCATGTTCATTGACCCAACTGGCAGAATCTAAGAGAAATGAATGACTCAAATCAAAGGCTTTAAAAATCAGAAGACCATATGTGAAGGTTATTAAACTAATGAAGAAGACACATGTTGATGGTTTTGTCAAATTTACAGTTTAAGCTAACTGAAGAAGGAAAAAAATATTTATACTGATTCAAGTTTGACATCCATACAGTGATGGGATTTCATTTTCATTGAAGAAACCATCTCACTTAAACTTCAAGCTGAACCTAGGCAATCACTAGGCAGCCATTTGGTTTCTGAATCAAGCCAAAACTACATCAAGTACCAAAATAAAACTGAGACACCTATCATATGATGGTTTTCCATCCATAAAAGGGTTCCCTTTGTGTCATCTTTCTTATCGGTTACACACTGTCATCAGCATCCTGTTTGCTAAGCAGAGGTAAGGAAAAAAGAAATATCATATATATATATATATATACACATATATTAATCAAAGTCACCTGAAGTGAACATATGGCCCCTCATAAAGTCTCAAGAACAAGAAGCGTATATCCCACAAGGTCAGTAGGGTACTTTTCCAAGTCCAGCTACAATTGTGATGGAGTTGAAAGGTCCTAACACATATTGTTGATCTCCCTGTGGCTAAATACTTGGAAGTCCTTAGACCTTTATAGTATCTGAAAACCAGGTCTAGAAACCTGATCCAGCCATACAGAAAACTATTTTGAACTCTCAGAGCTGGATGATGACTCAGGATATTAGCTGAAATATATTCTGCATTAAGTTACCTCACAGATGAATACCAGAAATGAAGGAAGAAATAGTTGAACTTTCTAATATGAATAGCATGCATAGAATGCAACCTTTTGCCTAACTGAGAGAACTTTTGCCATCTCAAGATGACAATATGCTGAAGAGGGGCTGGGAGGGAAGAGACTGTTCAAATGCCCAAGAAACAACTAGTTCATAACTTAATTCTAAAGTATTATTTTAAAAAAAATCTTTAACTTTGCAAAGAATGATCATCAGGGCTTACCTGAGGAACACCTGACTTGGCCAGAGACAGCTCCTAGTAAAGAGAGAAGAACAATGGCTAATATACCATAATTCAGCTGACAGCTAAAAGATGTTTACACTGACTCTAATATGGGTACATTATTTCCTATACCCCTAAAGCAAAGACATAAATTCACTTTCAGAAAATAACCAAAAAATAATTCTAAATTTTAAAAAAGGAAAACCTAAAAAGAATGATGTCCAGCTGGCTACATTGGAGTGAAGGTAATAACCAATATGAAGGGTAGGCATTATTGGTAGAAAACTACCAATATCAAAGGATGCTCTCTGAGTTATAGCATATTAAGAAGCAATTCATAGGCCATCCTAGTAAATGTTCACCACCGTTTAGTCTATGTTGAGAAAAAAACACTTACTGAGTGTCAAAAGGTGGCTACTGGGATTTTTGTGCTTTTCAAGGATCCCTATTGCCTTTAACTACTGAAACCTATGAAAGGCAACACAATACTATGACACTGGGATAAAATAAAGTCAATGGGAGCTACAAAAAGGCACCATTTTCACAGAATTGATTTAGAAAAACAACAAGCACAAAGGAGCTCACCTCTAAACAGGGCCTGCACCAATGTGACTAATGAAAACCTACTACTACCAGGAACAGAAGATGGATACCTAAAACTAAAAGATTTTAGAGAGGATGAGAAAAGACCGGTAGGATTATTTGAAAGGTATGGCAAGAAGTCAAGAAGATCAAGACTTCAAGGGTGGTTTCTAGCTCTCATGTAAATTTCAAGGAATCTATATTACTGAACTATAAGACTGTTGAATCCAGTGTTAATTCCCACTAGAAGAAAATAATCAAAGACAAAGATTTTAAAAGAACCAACCCACACTCAACTACTCCCCACCAAAAAGTTGGGAGCTATGCACAAACTTGTCTATTTTGTTCTAACAACACTTTTCAATGAAATGTTTCAAGCACACACAGAATTACTATCTTTATCTTGCTTATTAGGAGAGATTAAACTTAAAGCATCTGGATGATTACTTTTAAAGACAAGGATATAACATCAAAGTGAGAACTTTTATAACACATGGGAAATCCTAGACTACGAAAACTGAAAATAGAAATAAGCGAAGTCTTGTTGTCTACCTATTGCCCATATACACTGCTTCCTCTGTACTGTACAATGTACATTTCTCATTGTCATAGTCACCACATAACATAAGAAAAAGGGGGAAATAGCAAATGCACAGCACACCTGCCATAGAGGTTTACTGTTTTGGAGAGAATTGGGGAAAAGAAATATATCTGAACATTATCTCAAATATCTTCATTTTTTTATAAAAGCAGAATTAAAATGACTTAAGAAATACTTAATACCTTTTTTGCCAAAATAGCAAGTGGTTTATTTCCTGCTAAGTCAGAGAACCAACTATGAATTGCGCTCTGGGATCGAGCAGTGACCAGCCAGTAATTATCTTTAGCATTAACTTGTGGTTTCTTCTTTCCGGTGTCCTGGAAAGTATTAAGCTTTAATTTCTCAGCTAATATGCTGCTGAAATAAGCTCCAATCTGTGGAAACAGGAGTGGAAAAGATAGAAAACAATAAACAAATATATTAGAAATGTATTAGTACTTTAATTTAAAAAAAAAAAAAGATTTATTTAGTGGCCCTCCCTGGTGGCGCAGCGGGTTAAAGCACAGCACTAAGAAGCTAAAGCCACTTCCGCATGAGTTTGATTCCCGCCTGCCCCAGAGGTGACGACCTGGCCCGGCAGACCTCTCCTGACCTGCCCACTGTTCCCCTCAGCAGTGTACTTCGTAGATCTGCCTGTTCTGCTTCCCACTGTCTCTGGTGAAGCCTCTCGCTGCCCCTGAGCCTCTGGGCTGTACCCCAGTTCCGTATGCACAAATTAAAAAATAAATAAAAAATAAAAGATTTATTTATTTATGCATACAGAACTGGGGTACAGGCCAGAGGAGCAGGGGTGGTGAGAGGTCAGGAGAGATCTGCCACTCCATATGGATCACCTCCAGGACAGGAATCGAACTCATGCTGAAGTGGCTCTAGTTTCTTAGTGCTGTGCTTTAACCTGCTGTGCCACCAGGGAGGGTCTTAATTTTATTGTTTTTAATTAAAAAAATCTTCAGTCAGCACATCAGGAAATAAGATGACACTATACATCACAAGCATTGTGAGTTCCTTAAACTAAGCTAGTGTATCTTTGCTCTGCTCCTTATAAGCACCTCAACAAAAAAGAAGAGCCTTTGGAACCTCTGGGAAGTGAAGCTGATGACATCCTCAGTAAGTTACAAGAGAATGGGTTCTGCTTGAATCTTCAGTTGTACTTTCTCCCTGTCAGACTACATACCCATTCAAAGTGAGTTTTCTTCCTGAGTGCAGAGCAGAAGAGCAGAAAACCTAGCAATCATACGTGAATCATTCATCTCCTTGCTTCATCTTAATAGTGCATATTTCAGAAAGAAAACTCATTCGTGCTCTTTTTGAAAGTCTAGAGAAATTTAATTTATTTCAGTGACAAATTACAAAAGGTTCGATTAAGTTAAGTATTCAATGTTTTTGTACTGGACTGCCAGTTTCATGAGTACAAGTATTTCAAGAGAAACCTAGTGCTGTGAATGGTGCTAGAAGTAAGAGAGAATCTGTTAATTATGGTATCATTTTTATATGAGCCAGTTTAAAAGAGAAAAAAAGAAAGGAAAAAGGGTCAAGGGAATAAAGTAATATCTTTAAGTGAATTCATATTCGAATTTTCAAAACTCCTATAAAAATGTCACATTTCAATCCCTACAATTCTTTAATACGATGCAAGCAACAATTTCTAATAAAAACCTTCAATAAAGTCTACCCCAATGAAGTAACAAATATATTTTTGTGATTAGGGGGGAAAAAATTGTCTAAGCTTTACATTTTCTTAAAAATAAAACAACTGGCCCTACCTAGTGGCGCAGCGGGTTAAAGCACAGCATTAAGAAGCTAAAGCCACTTCAGCATGAGTTCGAGGCTCACCCCAGAAGTGAGACACACAGCTTGGCAGACCTCTCCTGACCCACCCGCTGCTCCCCTCAGCAGTGTCCTAAGTCAATCTGCCTGTTCTGCTCCCCACTCTATCTCTGGTGAATCCTCTCACCGTCCATGCACCTCTGGCCTGTACCCCAGTTCTGTATGTACAAATAAATAAATCTTTAAAAAATAAAAAGACTCAAAACAGCAGAGGTCACTGTCACTCAGCATAAAACACGTAACGAAACAAAAATAAATAAATAAATAATAATAATTAAAAAAAACTACAATGTGACTTTTAACCAAATGTGATTTTTAAGCAGACTGTCAAAACAGGGAATTACATGCAAATATACAGTAAAACCAGTTATTGAAACCCATGTAGTCAAAGTAACAAACTTTTTAAAGTTCTTTATTGATATTTGGTGTTTACAACAAAAACATGAAACACATGAAAGTCTATTCATGTTAACAGGATTTCTAATATCAAAAGATTGAAACAAACAATCCAAATGTTTGTTTAACACAAATACAAACATCTGTAGATTACATTTAGAAAATCTCTTAATTTGACATTACATTCCTATTTTAATTGTAATAAGCAAATGTACCAATAGGAAAAAAAGACTAGTCTGAGAAATCTCAGACAATAACATCTTATTATACTTCCTTGTATGTATTTAATAACAATGGAATACATTTTAAAAATATGTGTTTTTTATTCCCAACAAACCTTGGGTTCAACTACATAATGTAAACAATGTTAAGATTCCCAAAAATTCAAAAGAAAAATGTAAATTAAGGTATATAAATAATCAAAACATGATAATAACACTTAATTTGAATAGCAATAGTCACATCATTCTGAAATCCAAAAGTAAAGAGCCTTATTACTAAGTTCCAAAATCTACCATTAGTATACACTGTATTTCTGTATGTAACAATTTCCTTATGTGCCCTTTCAGTATTTATGTGAACACATATGAGCAAACTCAAATACCTCATTTTTCCCCCCTCTCATGTACATTTAGTAAAAATCTGAGAAAACTTCCACATCTTTATAGACAGAGCCTCTTCATTAGTATTTATAAATACCTAACATAATATGTTGTGTTTATACATAACATTGTCTTTCATCAAGTGCCTGTTTGTGGACATTTGGATTGTTTGTTTCAATCTTTTGATATTAGAAATCCTGTTCATGAATAGACTTTCATGTGTACCTAACAGCTTTCAGATAAAATTCAGACTTCCAATTATAGGATTATGAAATTCTAACCAGCATTACTAAATTGTTCTCCATAAGGTTTCTCTCAATTTGCACTCCCTAGTCAAGAAAATAAAGCCTAATTTAAAACTTATTTCCATCCATTCTAAGCTATTTTCAAATCATTTGATAAGAAAATGGAAAGAGGTTTAGGGGTTAAACTAAAGTTTACATATTTTGTATATTTATAAGATCAAATGCCCCTGAAAAAGTTTGAATACTTATGCAAGTCTCACAGGAAGAGGGACAACAGCAAAAGTTGTGATGAAGGTTATTTCTATTTATTGTTATTTAAATTACAAAAAACTTGATACAACCAAGAGCAATTTGACACTTCACATCAAGGCACACAACATTCATACTGTTATAGACTGAACTGTATTTTCTCAAAATTCAGATGGTTAAGCCCTTACCCACAAGTGAGACTGAATTTGGGCCTATAAGGCTAATTCAAGTCTCATGTGGTCATGAGGGAGGGGGCCCTAATCCAACAGAACTGGTATCCTCATAAGAACACCAGGATATGTGTACACAAAGCAAAACCATGTGAGGACACACATAAGCCAAACAGAGATTAAGAAGATGTGGGGCCCTCCCTGGTGGCACAGCACGTTAAAGCACAGCACTAAGAATAAAAGTAACTTCTGCATGAGTTCGATCCCTGCCTGCCCCAGAGATGACCACATGGCGTGGCACACCTCTCCTGACCCGCCTGCTGCTCCCCTCAGCAGTGTACTTTGTTGATCTGCCTGTTCTGCCCCCCCTTCTGTTTCTAGTGAATCCTCTCACTGCCCCTGCAACTCTGGCCTGTACCCCAGTTCTGTATGAATAAATAAAAAATCTTTAAAAAAAAAAAAAAAAGAAGAAGAAGTGGTACAGGGGCCTCCCTGGTGGCACAAGGCATTAAGTCTCAGCACCATCATGCTATCAGCAGCACAAGTTGCATCCCTGGCCAGGGAGCTCACCCACATGACACAGCAGACCTCTCCTGTCTCGCCTACTGCTCGCCTCAGCAGTGTATCTCAGTAGATATGCCTCTTCTGCTCCCTACTCTGTCTCCAGTAAATCCTCTCACCTGCTGTACCTCTGGCCTACACCCCAGTTCTTGTATGCATAAACCAAAAAGAACATCATAATGGAGTACTACTTGGTCTGTAAAAAAAAAGTGAGCTCTTACCATCTGTGACAACATGATGAACTGTAGGGGATTATGCTAAGTAAGATGGTAAGTGAGATAAGTCAGAAAGAAAAATAACTGATTGATTCACTCACATGTGTAAAATAAAGGGAAAAAATGAACTAGTAAAACTAAATCAAAACAAATACTGAAAATATGATTGCAGAATTAAGGCTGGTACAGGAGTTGTAAAGTGGGGCTGAGAACAAAGTGGGGATGGAGTTCTGGTGATGAAAGTGGCACAGTGACATGCAACTGAGGAGGTATGAAGCTATTTCCCTAAATCATGTGCAGTGTTCTAAACAAATGTTGTCTCAATTAAGGAAATTAAATAATTTTTTTAAAAAAATTTCTGTCATTTAAGCCTCCCAACCTGTGGTATTTTGTTATGATAGCCCTCATCAACTAATGCACCTTCTAAACAAGTAATATTCCTCTGGGAATTTATCCTAAAGAACAAAAGCTATATATTTAAATATGAATGCAACCTCTTTATAAATAAATACAAGAAACTTGTCAACCAGCTAATTGCTTTAGCTAGCAACTTCAGTCTATTATAGCAAATAAATGATACAACATTATCTGATCATTAATTATTAACAGGAACACTTCAGGCTCAAGAATGAGTATCTAGAAAATAAAGTTACTGTTTTAAAGTATATAAATTAAGGAAGTTGAAAATGTTCTGGAGATAGATGGTGGTAATAGCTGTACAACAATGTGAATGGATACATAAACATAATAAAAACTCTCATAAGTACTAAAATAGCATAAATTTTACATAAAGTTTTACCATCAAGAAAAGTAGAGTGCAAACTCCTACCTACACATAATTGTGGTTATAATGTTAAAAAGAATATCAAGACTGGAAAAGGACAAAACTAAAAACACTAATCAATAAAACTAAACATAGGAAATGCTATTTTCTTTCAGATCATTTGAATATTTCAGCTATAGTTTAGCAAACTGTCAAGTATATATGTATATGTGTATACTTGTGACCATACCAAAAGAGACCTAGGATGATAAATCTTTCCCAAAGGTTATCTATAAGGAAGGGGAAGAATTATAGAAATTTATGTTTGATTTCTTTCTATTTCTAAATATGACACTTTAATAAAGATCACAAACAGAAAAAAATGCCATCTCTATATCTATTAATACAGCCACACAGAAAATAAAAAAAGATGTAAGTCAAGAAAAAATTTTTTTAAGTTGTATTTATTGCACACAAGAACTGGGGTACAGGCCAGAGGTATGATGGGGCGGGGGAGGGGGGAGGTGAGAGGATTCACCAGATACTGAGTGGCGAGCAGAGCAGGCATATCGAGTAAAATACATAGCTGAGGGGAGCGGCAAGCGAGACAGGAGAGGTATGCTGTGCCATTTGGGTCACTTCCCTGGCCAGGGAACAAATTCACACTGCAGTGGCTGTAGACAGCTTCATAGTGCTGTGCTTTAACCCACTATGCCACCAGAGACAGCCCAAGTCAAGAAAATTTTAACACAATATTCTCACTATATAACCCTTAATGAAAGACAGTGTTGGCACAAAAAGCATTATAGAAATTATGAATCTCAATAATAATTTTAGTGTTACTACTGCAGCACTGATACATTTTATTATGTACCTTATGTACCATGTATTAGTAACATGGAGTAAATGAATAAATGTTAATAATCCCTGTGGAATTTATATAGAAGTGGTGGATGGATAGATAGATGGACAAATGAACAGGTGAAAGAAAAAAAAGAAGTGGAGGGGGGAAAGGAAAAAGATAAAAAAGAAATGTTTACATTTCCCATGTCTGTCCACTAAAAGGACTAGACATTAGGAACCTGTAGTAGAAACAAGGAGCCAAGCACCCAGATTGGGCTGGAAAAGAAAAAGATCAGACTGGGACAGCATTCAAAGAATGATGGGCTATCAGAGGGACCCAAAAGCTAAGTTACTGCAGCCTCACTGGCCAAGCATGAGACAATTTGATAATCTGAACATAAAATTTTAAAATGAAGATAATTCAAGTTTTAAAAAGGGCAGGCACTCAAAGTAATAACAAAACCTGGGGGTGTCCTTTACAAAAGAATTTCAACTAACAAATGTACAAGAAATAGCAATTTAAAACCCAGCATTTTTCTAGAACCACAAGATAAATCATTCCAAATTGATGTTAAAAGTCACAGACAGAAGAAAGATACCTGCACCCCCATGTTTATTGCTGCTTTATTCACAATTGGAAAGACATGGGAACAACCAAATGCCCAAAAATGGATGACTGGATTAAAAAGATGTGGTACATATATACAATGGAATATTACTAAGCAACCAAAAAAAGAAACACATGTCTTTTGCAGCAACTTGGATAGAGCTGGAAAAGATCATGTTTAGTGAAATAAGCCAGAAAGAAAAAGAAAAATACTGGATGGTTTCTCTCATAGCAGGAATATAACAGAACAGGTGAGAAAATAATGATAATGATGAATAGCTATATATCACAGACATTTTGTGGGGGTGGAGTGAGGAATGGGATCAAAAACAGTGGGGGGAGGGAAATGTACTGGACTATGGTGATGGCACATGGGTGATTTAGTGATGGAAAACCCAAGGGGATTGTAACTGAGATGGAAAAATGCACAAAAATATATAAAAATAAACTATTATAAAATTAAAAAAAAAAAAAAACACAGACAGGGTCCCTCCCTGGTGGCGCGGCAGGTTAAAGCACAGCACTAAAAAGCTAAAGCCACTGAGCTTGATCCTCGCTTGGTCTGGAGGTGATCCACATAGTGTGGCAGATCTCTCCTGACCCACCCGCTGCTCCCCTCAGCAGTGTACTTCATCAATCTGCCTGTTCTGCTCCATCCTCTCTACCTTTGGTGAATCTTCTCACTGTCCCTTCACCTCTGGCCTATATCCCAGTTCTGCATGAATAAATAAACCTTTTAAAAAAAAATCACAGACAAAATAGTACATAAAAGGATATTTGTGTGGCCTCAAAGTATCACCCTGCAGAGATTATTACGAGATAATCACTAGTGCTTTTACAATATAAGGTGATAGCAGACACTACCTTAGATGATAAAGACTAGAAGAACTAGTAATAGGGCAAATGGCTATATAGAATGTGGTCTTATCAAAAATGTAACCTGAATTTTGTCATGAGCAAATCAGACAAACCTAAAATATAAGACTGGAATATAAGACATATGTAACTGGAGTAAACTAGCACTGCTGAACACAGGTGAAAAAATACCAAAATGAGGAAGGCAGGCCCAGGACTGCACCAAGAAACATGACAACATTCTGGGGAGCACAGCACACGGGGCATGTGGAGAAGCTCTGAACATCAACTGTGGTTTAAACAACATTACTTCATCAATGTGAACTATCCAAGATGTCAAATATACACACTTTTATAGAAATTTGAGGAAACAGACAATTAGTATTACCTTGGACGGATTAATTACAATATTTCTGGCTGAGCCATGTTCATCTCCAGTAAATGCTGGCTGATTGTTGAAACCTTGCTTAACGTTCACAGCAGTGAGTTCATCCTGTTTTGAAAATATATAAAGATTAATCAGAGGGATATAAAAGCTCCAAGTTAACAACCCCAATAGTCACTAATCTTACCATACTCTGTAGAAGAGAATTTGTTGAATGCAAACCAAAGAAAGCAGAATTTGAAGTTTAAATGCATAGAAGTAGAAACAATAAAACATGGCAAAACATTAACAACTGTTGACTGTAAATGTAGGGTCTGCTGGTGTTCATTATACTACTCTTTTCTGTAAGCTTGAAAATTTGGGAAAAGAAAAAAATGAGTAAAAATACAACAAAGAGAGAAATAAAATAATAAATTTTAAAATTGGAATTATTTCTAGAGAGCTCATAAGTTGACTGTCCCTTCCTCATCCCTATTCTATGTTCAAGAAAACTTACTGACTCAGTTTCCCCAAAAACACAGAAAGCTAAAGAAAGAAATGATGGGTCATAGGTATAAGCTTCTTGATAACCATAGAACACAATGCCTGAAACTGAAGGAAAGTGGAGAGCTTGCAAAGTCAATTCATATATCTTGGCTCACTTAATCTTTACCAGTTCTGACATGGACAGTAGAGGTGCATCATCATGCCCATTTACATATTAGAAGAATAATGCTCACTAAGATAGTAACTGCACCAAGTCAGCACTGAAATACTGTCTGCTCAATCCTAGACTAGGGAGAGAAATTTCCATGGCACTACACACTGAACTACGAATGTTAGGAAGAAAATACATAGTTATAAGTCATACTCTCCTTTGAAAGCTCTCCTACTGAATATAGCAAACTCTTCTTACCAAGGTCACACACTTCAAAAACAGCCCAAGTCTTATTTAAAAAGGGGGAAAAAAAAAAAAAAAAGGATCATGCCTTGCCTTGAAATTCCTAAAGCACAGAATTAAAAGAATAAATGGGGAAGGTTTGAAAATTAAAACTACCTCTGCTCCCCTAACTCCAAGCCAAAAAGAGGTGGAGCTAATAACAGAGCACACAGTCATAGCACAGGAACGAGAACATATACTTACTCTTCATAAACAATTGCTGCATGTGTAAAGTGAAAAGAGTCAATTCATCAAAATCACGGCTTTGATTATGGAGGAAGACTCAGGACAAAATAGTTTGCAACACATAAAATTTGAAAGTTCACCTTGACTGAGGATGGATTCTACTGGAGACTTGTCAAGTCAACTTTACTTAATTGTGTGTGTCCCATCTAATACCTTGGGGAGCCATTGTTTTGGCAAGATTTCAAAAGACCCAGCTGCAGGAATCTTAGTTCTGTGGTAATCTAGTCTCCTCAAAGCACAGGACACTGAAATTGTGAGCCACATGGAAAATGAGATATATTTAGGTATCAGGAGAAATTGCAAACTGCTCCCACACAGTCAAATTAATATTTGAAAATCTGAGGCAAAACTACATAATAAATGCATATTTTAACTCAGAAAGGTTTCAATCAATTTAATAAAGCAAGTGTGCTAACGAAATTCCTATAGGTGGAGTCTACAAAATGAAGGAGGGCAAATGAAATCATGAGAGAAGACAAAAAATTTGAATTTTTATCTGATTTACCATCAGAGGATTACAAGAAACATGAATGACAGCATATGTTTCTGCTAAAATACACTTTCGTCAAGAAAATATGTGTGAGGCTTTCAGGAATAGTTCCATTTAGTGTTGCTTCACTTTCTACTCTAAACTAATCCCTACTCATAGTTAGTTGCTTGTTGTTATTTGACTATTAACCACTGGCCTGAACAGATATGGAATTAAACCCACAGTTCCTGAATAGAAACAAGTGCATAAAGTTTTTTCTTTTAGTCCTTCAATGTCCCATAAACCTGTAATAAGTAAAAACACCAGAATGACAAATACTCGGTTCAGGAAGCAAGGAACAAGCTTGACATTAATTTATTGATAAAAGTACTTTCCAACAGCTTCCTAGAAAAATTCAATAAAAAGAAGTAAAAACTCAAAATATCACAACTGAAACCTGTCACCTTAATGGTTAATTTCCTGGTTTGTAAAATGGGTAAAAGTCAATGGCAAGAATTTACACCATGAGTAGTTAAGAGTTAAAATCCAAATTCCATAATGTTCACTAATGTTGTTTAGGCAGTCTTTCTCAAACTACAGATTGTAACATCACCTTTTATGGGAAAATATTCCCTGTGACCTAAGGGTGTCTGTAGACCCCAATTGGGGAAAACAGGATATTAAATGTCACTGGGAAGCATTAAAGAATCAGAACTAAAGAATTTGTTTCATGAATTCAAACAACAAGTTATTATGACAGTTTGCTCCAAGGCCCTTTGTGAAAGTTAAGTTAGGTAAACAGATAGCTGGGTGTTTGGTAGACATAAAGAATCTAGATTTTGGGCTTTCCCTGGTGGCGCAGTGGGTTAAAGCACTGCACTAAGAAGCTAACGCCACTTCCACATGAGTTTGATCCCCGCCTGCCCCGGAGGTGATCCACATGGCGTGGCAGAGGTGATCCACATGGCATGGTGGACCTCTCCTGACCCGCCCTCTGCTCCCCTCAGCAGTGTACTCATCTATCTGTCTGTTCTGCTCCCTGCTCTGTGTGTGGTGAATCCTCTCACAGCCCCTGAACCTCTGGCCTGTACCCAGTTCTGTATCCATAAGTAAATAAATCTTAAGAAAAAAAAAAAAAAGAAGAATCTAGATTTTGGAACAGCATACCTCTAATACCCACAAGCCAGAATCTGTATGGGATACAAAGTTTCTTACCCTAGCTCTGAACTCCTTCAAAGACATTTCTAAATCAGAGGCTACCACCATAATTCTTATAATTCCTTTCCTTAGTGAGAATTTAATACTTCCATCACATCTAGTCTATAACTCTTGTAAAAAGACTCATGAGCTGCTATTTTGCCAATTTGCAAAGGTGAAATAACTAAAACCCAAAAAATGTGGGTGGTGGGGGGCACACTCAACCATTAATCAATCATATTTCTAGCCTGTACTCTGAGCACTAGATCAATGCCAAGTTTTTTCTAACAGAAGGACTGCTTATTAAAAATTGAAGATTTTCCCACTGTACCAGGTGGGGAATAAAAGAAAACTAAAGTAATTTTAATTACTAAGGGGTAGAGGAGAGCAACCATAAACTATAAGAGTTTTATTTATTTATCAACAGCAGTGAGGGAAAAACACAGTATACACCTGTCCACAACCTAATATTTACTAAATTAAGAGACAATGCTTCCTGAGAGCATGAACTCAGTTCTCGCCTAATAAACCAAAAGCTGCAGATTGCCAAACCATACTGTAAATGGGTTTCAACAGTTTGAAAATAGAACCGCTTCCCAAAGAAAATCTAACATTTGCAAGGTGGACTCTCACACCTCTTGCCACTGGTTCCAACTAAAATAACAAGTCTTAAGCATTATAGGGAGGCAGGTACCTAGAAGCAAACACAAACAAAAGTCTAAAAATGATCCATATTCATATGGAAGGCCAGAGTTTATTCTGTATTTTCTATCCCATCCTGGTACAAAAATCTGAACTTGGCTACTTTGGGTGAATTCTAAGTGCATCTATAAATCTCACACATTCACCTTGAACTTCAAAAAATGACCCTTTTTTTTTGGATCACTTTCAAAACAATCTTTTAATTTCAATAAAAAGTTTCACTGGGGAAGCAGAAACACTTTGATGCTAGTTTCTCACTTAAGGGGGATAAAGTCAGTTTAGCACAAGTTTCAATGCTAATCTCAAAAGCACATAATAAATGTGCAGCCAAACACACATACATATACACACAGGCATGCACACAGGATCATGGCAGGCACACTGCACTCCTCCCAACTTCTTGTCTAATAAAGAACATGGCAAAGGCCAAGCACAATTCCTCAGTCACCTATAGGTGGCCAACCAGCTAACTCAATTAATTGTTCGATGAGATGAAGAGAAAGTCCACCAAGCCACAGAGACAGAAAAATGCCCCATGTGCTAATCAGTCAGACTGTATTAGCCAGGATCATACCCAAAACAAAATGTTTTAAGAAACCTCATTATAGCTGATTTTTCCTATATTTCCCCACCTGGCTCCAAAAAGGGCATTCTGAGTCCTGCAGGACGTCAGCAGATCCTATTTTAAGAAACTAGACTATGGGGCCTCCCTGGTGGTGCAAAGGGTTAAAATGCAGCACTATGAAGCTATCTGCACCCCCTGCCAGGGAAGTGACCCACATGGCAGAATGGACCTCTCCTGACCCTCCTTCTGCTCCCTTTGGGGCAGTGTAGTTCAGTAGATCTGCTTGTTTTTCTCCCCACTCTGTCTCTGGTGAATCTGTTCATTCCCCACACCTCTGGCTTGTACCCCAATTCTTGTATGCATAAACAAATATATCTTTATATAGAGAAAAAAACTAAATATATAGAAAAACTAAATAGAGAAATTAAACTATGATAATACAGCAAGGGCATTTTAATCATCTTCAGGCAACACTTAGGAGTTACAGACATAAATGACCCAGAGGTAAGGTAATAATTTTCTCCTCATACCTCATCATTAACTTATTCTATCTATATTTCTCTCAAAGCATTTTTCTCATATTCCCTTCTTTATTTATTCCCTTCTTTAAAATACTATCATCACAGGCCCTCCCTGGTGGCGCGGCAGGTTAAAGCACTGCACTGAGAAACTAAAGCCACTTCCGCATGAGTTCGATCCCCGCCTGCCCCGGAGGTGACCACATGGCGTGGCAGACCTCTCCTGACCCGCCCGCTGCTCCCCTCAGCAGTGTACTTCATCGATCTGCCTGTTCTGCTCCCCACTCTGTCTCTGGTGAAGCCTCTCACCCTCCGCATCTCTGGCCTGTACCCCAGTTCTGCATGAATAAATAAATAAATCTTAAAAAAAAAAAATACTATCATTACATATAAACTGTGGCTGACCCCAAAGTAGGCTATGTCAAGATTACCTTCTTCTGTCCATAATTTCATGTGAATGCTCCCTATCTACTGGCCCCCGTGACTTTTCTG